GTGGGAAGAGAATATGCGCACACCACGATGAGCTTTCCCGATAAAGTCTCGTAGCTGCACAGCATCTTCATGTACCTCCTGAAGGCAAACCACCCCATTCAAAAAGTCAAACCGACGAAGGTAGTCCAGCTTCACCTTGGAGTGAGCACCCTGGCATTGAAGAAGCGCCCTCGCATTCCATGAAGTGAAGGAAACCAAACCGTGTCCACTATACTCACCTCGAAGTAACCTTCCCAGCCCACTAAAGACACCACACAGCCGATTCTGGTAGTGCAACGATGGCGGCAGCAGCTGCGGGAAACTGTTGCTTCGGCAGGCCAAGCTTCGCAATGAGGTTGTCGGCCCAGTTGAGCGTGGAGGGTGCGTTGCCAGGATTCGGGCTGATCTTTAGAATCGGGTCCCAGCCTGCCATGACATAGCCTCGGTCCTTGTCCACATACCAGCGCTTGGAAGAGTCGATCTCTTTGAAGGCGTCTCGAATCTTCCGAGCCTGCATCTCCATGCGAATCTGCCGCGGATTCTTGTCGGGGCCGATGTGAAGAGCCGTGGACTGTCCGTCTGCTGCTGTGGTCTCGAAGCCCTTCCATTGGCCAGGCCCGAGGCGTTGGGCACCAAGCACCTTGGCAACACGACGAGCAGCGGGGGCGGGTGCACCAACGAAGTTGATGGAGAAGCTGCGGCTGACGGCTTCAGGGGAAGAGATCTTGAAGAATTTAGGCTCAACACCAACCTCAGCGATCCTATCAGAGAGGGTCTGCTGTACCTGATCGAGGGCCGTGAGCTTGGCTGCGATGACTTTGATAACACACGGTTCGGCGTCGCGATCAAAGCCGGCGGCGGAGAGCAGCGGGGCCTTGGGGACGTCGTTGGCGACGGCGAGGAGCTCGTGCAGATTGCTGATCTCCGCCTTGAGGTAGGAAATGTCGGAGTCGTGGGTGTCCAATCTGGTCTCATGGGCGCGCAGCCGAATATGCATCCCGTCGATATGCTCCTGAAGGCGGCGATTCTGACCATCCAAGCACTTAGCAGCAGCATCGTCAACCATCTTGGGGAGGTCCTTGACACCTTGGGCGAGCTCAACAGCGGACTCGGCGTGCTTGGAGAGCTGCTCTGCGAAGGGGTTGGTGGCCCGTCCGCTGTGGACCTGATGGAGTCCAGCATCGTCTGCTTGTACTCGCGGAGCAGCTTGGTGGCCTCCTCCTTCGCCAGGTACCGAGTGTACTCGTCAGGTCCAGTCTCCTCCCAGCCCCAATCTTCATTTTCATCTTCAGCATGAGCGTCATGAGCAGGGTCGCAACCAGCAGCGGCAGGAGGATTATCTGCAGCGGGAGCAGCAGAAGCACCAGCGCCACCAGGAGGCGGAGGAGTGGCCCCTGAGGCGTCACTGTTGTCGCCTTCGATGTCGTGCTTCCTCGGGCCCTTCTTCGGCTTCTTCGGCTTCTTGACGCCGAGAGACGCCACAGGCATGCGGCGGCCCGCGCGCGGGGCGCCCCGATCACTGAGCCAGGAGGCTACGGATGGGTCCAAAGCTAATCGCAACACCTCGGTTCAACGAACCTTCGTTACGTTTAGCCTTGAGCCAAAATGGCTACGGAGGAGGAGGAGGAGGAGGAGGAGGAGGAGGAGGAGGAGCAGGATGAGGAGGGGGAGGGGGAGGGGGAGGGAATCGCGGCCTCGGATCGGATCGGCATGTGCGTCGGATCGAGCCGCGTCGGCACAGGGCAGGAATTCGGATCGGACTGGCCGCGCCGTCATGCACAGCAGCGCTACTCGAGCATCGGGCAACGCCGCACCGCGGGAAACTCAGAATCGGGTCGGGTCGGGCTGACCAAAACGGATACCGAATCGGATCGGTTACATCAAAACAGGCCCCGGAAACAGCGAGGATGGGCACTCTCGAAGCTCAAAGGGGAGGCAATGACTTGGAATCGGACACTCATCGCCCCTAGATGCATCGCTGGGGCGCCCCGGCGCCGATCGCTTCGAGGATAGCGGCCGATGCGCCCCCCCCCTTCCCTCCTGGGCCCCAAGGGGCCTACACACCCCCTGGGCATCGCTCGGACGTCCATTCCCTGTGCTTTTTTCGGTTTCGTGCGTCGCTTTTTCACCAAATGATCAAGGATGCTCCTCGATGGTCCTCGCCGAGGAAAAAATGCACACGTCCGAACGATGCCAGGCCCCCGTCATTGCCCCTGAAGTTGGCTGGGCAGGATCAAGCAAGGGCGCCCGCCATGATCCTCGACGCGGCGCCCGGAAGTCTGGGCCCGCGCCCCCCCCAGCGCTCTCGCGGCGCCGCCGCCGTGCCGCCGAGCCCCCCCCACCCAAGACGAAGGCAGAGTGAGGACAGAGCGGGATGGGGACAGGAGGGGTAGGACAAATCAGGATTACGCCTTTTCGGCCCGCAGTGGTTGCGGCCATCTGAGGCCGCTCTAGGGACACTCTCCTGCACTCCTCGATCCCCCCTCCCGCGTGCATTACCCCCCACCCGTTGCCGCCCACCCAACCGAAGCAGCGCATCAAGCATCAAGGGCCACCCCAGCGAGAGGGCCACTCCTGCGCGTAGCCGAGCGCCGGCCCTCTCCGCCCTGCGAGCCCCAGGGGCCGCCGAGGGCCAGCGGGGCCCTCTCTGAAAGGCCCTCGGCGTGCCCGAACGCCCCCCCCCGCCTCGGGGGCGCCTCGGGGCTCCGCCGGCCCTGCGGGCCCGAGAGGCCGCCGAGGGCGAGAGGTGCCCCTCGAGGGGCGCGGGCCCTCTCCTGGGGCCCTCTGCCCCAGGCGCCAGACGGCGTGACCTGAGCCCTGCGCGGCCCCCACGAGGTCCCCGACCCCTGTCACGGGGGGGCATTGTTCGTCCCGGGTCCATGTCTCAAGGCTTGTTGCCGTCCCGGGCCCCGATGACCCACACAAGCCTAGATCGAAGAAGAACATCGGGATGTACAATTAGCCTGGCGAAGGACCCAACCATATTCAGCTGTAAGTACCGCGATCGCGTGCATAATCTTCGGTGGGGTTTCTTATGGTGGGGGCGCGAAATGTGTGAGGGTGTCTCCCTCTGTGGGTCACGAGGCGGTGCCTGCTCTGCAGTACGCCGCGCAGGGCTCCGCAGCTCCGTGGGTTGCTCCACCCAGCTGGAGCTCCTCGTGGGGCCGCGAAACGCTGTCCTGGGTGGGTGGGGGAGACGCATGCGAACACCGCCACTGGGGGCCGTAGGTGGAGCTCCCTGTGGGGCGACGAAACGCTGTCCTGGGTGAGGGGGGACGCATGCGAACTCCGCCACTGGGGCCGTAGGTGGAGCTCCCTGTGGGGCGACGAAACGCTGTCCTGGGTGGGGGAGACGCATGCGAACTCCGCCACTGGGGCCGTAGGTGGAGCTCCCTGTGGGGCCACGAAACGATGTGCTGGGCGGGGGAGACGCATGCGAACACCGCCTTTGGGGCCACGAAACGTGTAAGGGGTGTGGCGAAATTGGTGGCGATGACGGTGACGATAACGGTGGTGATCATGACGTCGATGATGATGATGACGATGATGATGACGATGATGATGATGACGACGACGACGATGATGATGATGATGATGACGATGATGATGACATGGCGATGGCGATGGCGATGACGATGATGACGATGATGATAATGATGACGATGATGCTGATGATGCTGATGATGCTGATCATGATGATGATGCTGCTGATTATGATGCTGATCAAGAGGATGATGCTGATGGTGATGATGGTGATGACGACGACGATGATGATGATGCTGATGCTGCTGCTGCTGCTGCTGCTGATGCTGATGCTGATGATGACGACGACGACGAGGACATGCGAAGGGCAGAGGCAGGGACGGGAGGAGGGAGGAGGGCGAGGAGGAAGGAAGGAAGGAAGGAAGGAAGGAAGGAAGGAAGGAAGGAAGGAAGGAAGGAAGGAAGGAGGAGGGAAGGAGAAAGGAACGCGGGGCACTCTCTCTTTAAAACGAGGACCCAACACCACAGGATGGTTTGGAAAAACACCTCGTCGGAGACATCAGGGTGCGTGCCGCGTGCCTGGGCCCGCCCCCCCCCCCTACCCTCGGATCAGGGCGGCAGGGCGAGTTGAGACGACGGCAGCTCAAAAGCGGTCCCCAGACCCATCCCCGGGTCCAAGCTCGCCAGTCTTCCGAGCTGCGCCCAGGCGTGGCGACGAGGGGGGCCCCCTTACGGCCAACTATCATCGTCTCGAGTCGACCTCCGCTGATGGAGGCCTCCCAGATGAAGTCGGGATGCGGTTGGAGGATCGAGCCGCGTCGCCGATGCATCACCGATGCATCGACGGTGTATCGGCGACGCCGGCGATGCATCGGCGACGTCGGCGTGGAGAAAATCGGGCTCCGCATCGAGCCGCATCGCCGCTGAAGCGGCGATGCGGCGCGATTCCCCGACCCCATCCACTGCGACCCCATCCGGGAGGCCGAGATCGGTTTCCCCGCCCCACCCCTGAGGCGCAACGATAGGAGGGGACTGGCATAAAGGGAGGGAAGCATCGACCAGGAACGGGCGGGGTGGGGCTATCGGGCCCCGTATCGGCGATGAGTGGACGACTAGGGGTCGATGCATCCCCCCCATAGCGTTGCCCCCTGGCGTTGCCCCTGTGCTCCTCCCCCCCCCCTTGAGTCTCGTTTAACCGATCCCCATCCCCGGCGGCGTGGCCTGGGCCCCACTGGCCGATTTACCCCCCTAGATGGGATATAGGTCGTTCCCTTCGGGTTTCGAGGGGTGTATCCCCAACTGGGGGGGGGTAATTTGGTGGGGGTCTCGAAAGTGACGCGGATGGGGATGGGGGTCGGTTCAAGGATACCGAGCCTTGCCCGCTCCGGCACATCCCGAAGAGGAGGAGGAGGAGGAGGAGGAGGAGGACGAGGAGGAGGAGGAGGAGGAAGACTCTCCTGCTGCGCGCTGGGGATGGGGATGGGGGTCGGTCAAAGGATGCCGACCCCAGTCGCTGCCCCTGGCTCCCCCCGCAGCGCCTCGGGGTGGCCCTGCGCCCCGCTTGGCCGGCCATGGCCGCCTGGCGCCCGCTCAGCGTGGCCGGGCAGGGGCGCCCGCTGCCGCGCCTGGCTGCGGGGCCCCCGGCGGGGCGGCGGGGCCGACGGGGTCGGCACGGCATGCGAACTGCGCCCCTGGGAACCTTGGCGGTGCGCAAAAGGGGGTGGAGGGAGGGGGAAGGCTTCTTAGAAGGAGGCTGCTTCTTAGAAGGCGCCGGCCTTATATCTGTAGACAACGCCCGCGCCTTCTAAGAAGCAGGGGTGCTTCCAAGAAGCCCTCCCCCCTCCCCCCGCCCCCCTCTGCGCGCGGCTGAGAACCCGTGGAGCGTGCGAACTGCATGGACGCCATGCCGTCCAGCACGCGAGCACTCGGGCAGGCGTGCGCACTGCTCGAGCGCAGTTCGCATGCAATCCAGCGGGGGCCAGAAACTGGAGACCGGCAGCGCTGAACCCGCACGGTGTTTGTCGTTGTCGCTCTGGTTTCGTCTTCCCTCGTTTCGCCTGCAGCCCGTCCGTGCCGCGAAAACGAAATCGAACCGAAGACGGCCCACGAAGTCGCCAAAAACACCGTTCAGGAGGAGGAGGAGGAGGAGGAGGAGGAGGAGGAGGAGGAGGAGGAGGAGGAGGAGGAGGAGTCGCCAAAAACACCGTTCCGGTCCAGCCCTGCGGCGGGGCGGACGAGATCGGCACAGCAGGGGCAGGAGACTGGAGACTGGAGACGGCTCGGCGGCGCGCCCAGGGGGGGAAGGGGGAAGCGAGATGGGGCAGGCCTTCTCGGAGAGCGGCGGGGCTCCTCGGGAGTGGAGGGGCACACAAGCGCACCGAGAAATACACGCAACTCCCAGGAGCCCCCATGTTTTCCTACATTTTCTGGGTTTCTGTCTTCCCCCCGTGTCTGTATTTTCCAACCTTTTCGTGGGAATTGACGACTGATTGTGTCTGTGTTTTTGTTTCCCCTCCCGAAGGAGGCGCTCCGGCCTTCTGCGAAACCGGGTCTGTCTTCGGAGAAGGCCGAGAAAACTTCTCCGACGGCCTGGGGCCTTCCCCTTCTGAGAAGACCCGCCACCTCTGCACTCCCCCTTGGGATCGCCGCCGGATGGGACTAGAGACTGGAAACTGCGCCTGTAACAAGGGCTCCCAAGTTCGCGCTTCGCGCTGCGCGAAGCGCGAAGTGCGAATAACTTCGCGGTCTCACGCCGCCTCCCAGGGGAGAAGAGGAGGATGAGGAGGAATCGGAGCCGAACCGCGAAGCGCGAATAACTTCGCGCCCTCGAAGGCGCCCTTGCTGTAACGTCACAGGGGGCGGCCCTACGCAAGGCTAGGCGGTGGCCCTGGGGCGCTGGCATCAGTCGAAAAGCGGACAGCGCATCCTTGCCGATCCAATCCATACCCCATGGTTGTGTCGCTGTGTGTCGTCCTGTGCGGGACTCGTGCGAGCGGGGGCAATAACAGAAACGTTCGGGGGGGGGGGGACTGGCTCAGAGGGGGAGCATCCGGCTGGAATCGGCGATACTATCAGCGATAAGCCCCCGATGGCAAGTCCACACGCTTTTGGGCGGGGTGTGCTATCGGGCCCCCTATTGACAATACATGGGCGATTGGGAGTCGATCCGTTACCGCCTGAGCCTACTCCCTCTTATCCTTGCAAGCGAGGCCATTGCGACCCCAGCCGACTATGTGTCGTTTTCGACTGGACCCAGAACTTGGGGCCCATCGTCGACAGGGGAGCGTTCGACCAGCCCCCAGGCGGTGCACCCCCGAGTTTATAATTTTCTCCGAACGGCATGATTTTTCGAGGGCGCCTCGGGGATTCGGGACGAGAGCTCGCCTGCAACCGGATCAGATATGACCGCAAGAAACCCTCGCAGGAAAACCAGCCCTGAAACGCCGCGTAGTGCAGCACCGCATGATTGACACCGCCAGCGGTGCAGCGGGCGGGATGTCCGGCTGCAGGACGAGGCAGGTGAGCTGCGCACGATGAGCTCAGAAGGTGGAGGAGGAGGAGGAGGAGGAGGAGGAGGAGGAGGAGGAGGAGGAGGAGGAGGAGGAGGAAGGGGAGGAGCAGGAGGAGGAGGAGGAGGAGGAGGAGGAGAGGAGGAGGAGGAGGAGGAGGAGGAGGAGGAGGGAAGGGAGGAGCAGGAGGAGGAGGAGGAGGAGGAGGAGGAGGAGAGGAGGAGGAGGAGAAGGAGGAGGAGGAGGAGGAGGAGGAGGAGGAGGAGGAGGAGGAGGAGGAGGAGGAGGAAGGGAGGAGGAAGAGGAGGAGGAGGAGGAGGAGGAGGAGGAGGAGGAGGAGGAGGAGGAGGAGGAGGAGGAGGAGGAGGAGGAAGAGGAGGCTAGGTCGTCTGTAGGCCTGAGGCTCCAGGAGAGTGTGGTGCAGCGTCTTCCAGGCGACGAGGAGCCGGAGCCACACGCGGCTGGATTCCACTGCGGAGCATTCAGAAGCCACTCACTGGGCACATCCGGTGGGCCGGCGTTCCCCCCCAGCTGCCGCCCAGGCCAGCCGACCACGTCATCTGTATGCAATCTCCTGGCGCGAAATGACGGATGCCTGCTCACACCAGATCGTTTAAGCCTGACTTTACTAGAAACTTGCCAGTGTGCCTACACTAAAATCCCGCCCATGATCTGGCATTAAGGAGCGGCGCCTGTACACACGCCTGGAACTGTACCTCCAAGCAATGGTGCACCGCTTAAGCTCAAAGCGACTCTGCAATGGTACGCGTACAATGCGATTCAAATCAGCAGCTTAGTGTAGCGATCGTCGAGCACATAATGCGTGCCGAACAGCTCCAGTATCAGGGGTCCGAATATCGATTCTAAATGCGTATCATACTTGTCATTTCGTGGGCACGCCGCCTGCATATTACGATCGAAACGACTTCTCAAGGACACCAACTCAGGAGAGACCCTCGGAGGTATCGTCGCAGAGATCCGGCTGCCATCCCCAGTGAGCAACACCAAATGATGCCTAGCCCCCAGCCCTCCAGACTTCTGGGGCCACCAAAGCAATGGCTCCAACGACTCTGCAAGTGATGGCGTCGCAATGCTGTCTTCACACTCGGTGGACTTTGAAAAGTCGTCCACTGCCTGATGAAAGAATGATCGGATGGACCTATGAAGTGGTACCAGGGGCTGGCGCAGCTCTTCGTGGAAGCCGCCCTGTCGTAGCAATGCGTCCATATGCCGATTGAAGACACGAACGCGGCTCAATAATGACACCTGCCCTGCCTCTAACTCATCCACGGCACGCTGGACACGTGCTGCTACTCGACCAGTGGCGATCGTCCGAGTACAGTTAGGCATGAGCTGCAACAAAGACCAGCACGGAGTATGGTCTAGTTCCTGAACTGGCGGTGGGGCCACACTTGCAGTAGAACGACTTGTAAGCAGTACGGACCCACTGTCGTCCATGTTAATAGCCAAGCCGCATGCCGCATAGAGCGCACGCAGACGCGTCCACACCCCATTGGCGTCAGAGGCACGCGTGAGAAGCCATACATCGTCGCCGCAGCGTACCATTGCCAGCAAGGGCGTCTTACAACCAAAGACTTTTGGAAGCGATCTGGAAGCCGTACATGCGGAAACGGGCGGACTAGAACGCCCTTCTACCTTGACGTCCGCAACCATGCTTGTCTCCTTGCGAAGCTGTGTCTTTGCCTCTGCCACTTCAACAAAGCCGCGGTGCAGCCAAGCGTCTAGGAAAGAACCCACGACCTCCAGCAGCAATGTCGAGAGCGAAGGGCCAAGGGGCAGACCACGTACAACCGAGCGTCCAGACGGCAATGGAGCTACCATGTACCTTGTGAAGAACGCAAGCCAATTTTCGCATAGACCCAGGGCGCGGAGACAGTGCAAGACCAAACGGTGTGGCACGGTGTTGCTGAATGCGCGGAGGTCAACCTTCATGACTGCAAGATCTTCGCCGACAATCTCGAAGTCAGTGGCCTCGCTGTCTGAACCATCGCTAGCCTCACTGGCCGAATTTCCTCGCAACTCTTCGGACGCCGTCTTGGTGTGGCGTTCGCTGTCGAACTTCCAAGTTCCATGAACGACGCTACACAACTCGAACTCAGCATGCAAGCTTGCAAACATCGTGGCAAAAACGTCGCTGCTGCCATCATAGCAGAAGCCGTGCGACAACGGAAATTCAAACCGCTGTCTCAATCGTAAGCGCTCCTGCTGCAACTGCTGCAGCTGGATTAGCAAGGCGCGCTGTCGATGTCCAGGCATGGCAACGGCATAAGGAAGCGGACGCCCTTCGTTGGGATTCTCAGCGGCCCGTCTTCGTGTTGCACGCTGCTCACGTCCAAGAGTGGCAAGCACAGCGACATCCTGTCCGCGCACCTCGTGTTTGTGGCGCAAACGTTGCAGTGGATTCAAAGATTTAGCTACTTCTGGAAAGAGACGACTGCAAAGTACTTCGAGGAATACCATCATGAGAACCTCTGCTGGTTGACAGAAACATCGACATTTCTTCAGGCCATGTACAGCATGATGATGAGGAAATGCATCTCCCCATTGCCAAAATCTGCCCTCCGTCTCGAGCATCGCTCCAATAGCCACAGCGAAGTTCTCTGGGACAGAGCGTTGGTCCAAACCACGCTGCGCCTCTTTGCGCATTTTCTGGCTCAACGATTGGTGTTTGAAGATGTGCCCCAGCGCTTTCCGGACCTCGCAGACAGTAACTGGCTTACTGAGCGCCTCGAGGCTTACGAGTCGAAGCTTTTGTGGTGCAGGTGGCAAACTTGGCAATGATTCCCACGCTTCCCCCGCAGTGCCGCCACTCTCGAGCTGATGCAGTGCTGCTTGGCATTCTGCGCACGAAACTTCCTGCGCTGACTCAGATTCACTCCCAAAAGCTTCCTCTCGCTGCAGAGATCCCATCAGCAAATGCCTTTGGAACTGCGCAGCTCGACTTCGACGTCTTGCCTGAAGATTTGAAAGGGCGACTCGCTTCTGCCACGACTTACACAGTAAGTCAGAATCGGCAGCCAATCCACGAGACCGTAGGTCGTCACAAAAAGCCGAAGGCGATTCCATGTCCTGCTGACTCACACATGTCAGGTCTG